GCTCCCTGCTCAGCGGGAAGCCTGCTTCTCCCTCTCCCACTCCCCCTGCTTGTGTTCCCTCTCTCGCTGTGTCTCTCTCTGTCAAATAAATAAATAAAATTAAAAAATAATAATAATAAAATGGTTCATTGTTAATGTGAATTTCACCTCAAAAAAATTTCCATCATCAAGAATAGACTATTCAATAAAGGATGCTTGGGAAATTGATTTCTTCATATGGAAAAATATAAAGTTTTCTTTTTCATACGATACACTAAGATAAATACCAGGTATGTTAAAGCCCTAGATGCGAGTAATACTTTAACACACGTACCTTGTTGAACACACACTAAACACTTCCGTCAGAAATCTCCCTTTTATAAAGCACAACACACGTACTTGATATTAAGAGAATATCGTTATGGTCTTGAGAAGCTAGGATTTTCTGCAAGAGAAAGGACTGGTAGAAAGTGAAGTGACAAACCACGAACGAGGAAGGAATATTTGGAGCCAGGATAACTGACAAAGGGTTATTAATTGAGAATATATGATGAACTCCCTCACCGCAGTAAGAAAAAAGACAACCCAATAGAAAAATGGGCCAAGGCAATGAACAGACAATTTGCTGAAAAGGAAATCTGAAAAGAAATCAGGAACATGCAAATCGAAATAATGACATGCCCTTTTGCATCTGTCAGATTGACAGAAAATCCAAGTTTGAGCACAGCTGATGTTTCACGGGATGCGGAAATGTGGGCCCAGTAAAACATTGCTGATGGGATATAAAATCGCTTTAGAGAGCAATTTGGCATTACCCACACAGCTGAACAGGCGTACAAAACAGTTCCACTCTCAACATCCAACCTAGAGAAACTCTCAAACAAGCAAAGAGGAAATAAGTAAATATACAAGGATGTTTACTGCAACACTTTAAGTAAAAACAAAAATATGGAAACAACTGTCTATCAGTAGTGGATAAAAAAACATAAAAAGAATACTAAAATGACAGTTGTAAGAAATGAACTCGTGTGTGTGTTCATGCACACATGCATACATAAGCTAAAAAAATGTGGAGTGAAAAGAACAAGTTGTGAGACATTTCAGGCACATGAAAATCACACATGCCAACTCCAGGACACTGATTATTTCTAGGAAGGGTGGGTGAGAAAAGGAATGGGATGGGAGAAGGGTGGCTTTCGGTATGTCTTCAGTGACTTGTTTGTGAACAGTGAAAGGGATGGAGAGCAAAAATGGCAAAATATTGACATCTGTTAAATCCAGGTGGTAAGTGCTTGAGTGTTTATATAAGATTATTTTTCACACTGTATATATACAAAACATTTCATATTTGAAAGAAAGAAAAAGAAAGATCACGGCCTCATGCTCATGGTAATATATGAACTGAAGAAGTACGTTAGCACAGCTCGATTTATTTTAGAGAGAGAGAGAGAGCAGGGGAA